TATTTCTGGAAGGCAAAAGGTGTGCATGGCTTTCTGACAGGTGAGCAACATGAATGAGTTCAGTGGAAGGTCAGATGAACATCAGAGCTGGTGCAAAAGAGGATAAAAGCAGTGTTGCTGAAAGTCAAGAGGCTGAGAGGGATCTCCCTCTTTAGTGCCAGCAGGTCATTAAGTTAATTGAAGCCATAGTATGCAACTTCACCTCGGGTTTTCTCTCTGAATAATGAAGGGAAACCACTTGCAATTGCATAAATACCGATTTTCCTTTTGAGTTGATTCCATCTACAGCCTCTCTGCTGTTGGTCAGTGATCAGCAGATGACTTCAGCAGGCCCAGGTGCTGTTGCAGTAGTCAGGAGATGTTGAATGTGACTCTGCGCTGGTGCCACCTTATGCGTGAACACAAAGTGATGTCCCTGCTACACAAAAGCTCCTCTCATAAAACACTTGCATTTTAAATTTTATCTTTTGACAGTATTTGTTCCCTAGACAGTAGAAGTGAGATAAGATGAGCATCTGGATTAACTGTAAATTAGAGGGAGAAAAAAACCCCGATCAGGTGTATGTTTTCCCGTATGTCTAACAAGTTATGAGTGGTTTGTCCCTGTCTGACCATTTATATTCATTGCATTTGCTGGAAAATAAGTTTGTTCTTATTCTGTAAGAATATTCTCATGTATATTCTGTAAGATGCAGTGACTTTAAAATGTTTGCGGTATCTAGCTGAGCTTATGATTGAAAGATCACAAGTCTTGAGTGCCTTGCAATTTCCTCTGAAAATCCCTTAACTCTGACTTCCAGTATTTTCCTGCTGCTGTTTTAAGAGTTGTAGTCAGTCTTCTGTTTAAGTAACAACTTTAACAAGATTTTCCTTAACGTTGGAGTTTAAAACTGATTTGTTAGTGAAGTAAAGTTGGAAGAACTAATTACAGTGTGGATACCCATTGCATACATTTACTTCTTTGGGGCTTTTTATAGACCGTAATACCTAGTAAAGCACTGTTGACCATTTAACTGTTAAGGAGTGAGGGCTTAATCATCTGCTAATTAATCTAGGATTTACCCACGGTTTTGTAATCTTTAGAAGCCTTATTTTGCTGAGTAGTTACTGCAGAAGTTTTTGTTTTATGGAATAAATTAACTCAGTTGCAGCCCCAGTTCTTAGGCAAAGGCTGATTGACTAACAAACACAAATGCTTCTCTTGGAACAGCATTTGAAGTACCCAGTGAAAAGGAGCACAGTGTAACTGGGAAAGACCTCAGCCTGCTTCTAAGCTTTCTTTGTTTTCTGAGAATCTGAGTGCTCTGAAGGTGACGTAGGTGAGCTCGGTACAGATGTTTCCCCTTAAATTCTGTCATAGCAGATTTGATTTAGTGTTGTTGGGGGTTTTTTTCCACTTCTTTCCTTCTGAGTGTAATTATAGCTTCAAGGGGTTCCTTGCTTCCTCTCTTAATATTAAAGATAGCCTGGACTTAATTTCCATTTTCTGGAGGAATGGGGTGGTGGTGTGAGTTTAATTGTTTTAATTCTGCTGACAACTCTTGCAGTTCTTTTAAAAAAAGAAAAAGGGGGTTGGGGGGAGGAAGGGGCGTGTGTATGCATGGTCTTATTTTGAATGGTCAAATTCTCTGAGGGCTGAAAGTTGCAGTTCTGGTTTCCAGCTGTGAACTCAGGACTTATCTAGAAAAGCAAAGGCAAATCTTGGTCTCTTTTATGTTCTTTTGAAGGAGATTTTTCATTAGGATTCTTTGAAGGAGGAACAGGATTTGAGGTTCCTAACACAATACGTATATTTTAATTAAATTCTAATTTAAACCTTGACTTCCAACTCATTTGACTGCTGTAACTCGTTTTTACTAGCATTTAGGAGTGTGTAATGCCTGTTTTGTTGAAAGATTCCTGTACTTGAACTAGATCTGTGTTGCGGCCGTCTGCCTTCCCTTTTGTTGCTGTAGCTGGAACTCAGGCAGTTGATATGTTTGCGTGGTTTTCCATAGTTCATGACTCTGGCACAGCCTAACACACAACACGCATCTGTGTTGTGCGGTGACTTCTGTTCTTTGTGTCTTGATAGTTAGATTACTGTAAACTTTGCTTTAAATAACACTTTTATGTTTACCCTCATCCATCCATGTGTGACTGACTTGTACATCAGATGCGGCCTTTCCTTCGATATTTATTTTGTCTTTATACTGCCAGTTTTATGCTGTTCTGTGGTTAACATCTTCTAACATTTTATATATGTTTATTAACATTTTATATATGTTTACTTTCTGTATACCATTATACATGTATGTTTAGCTACTGCTAAACAAAACTAAATTATTTTATGAGGCCTTTTTTTTTGGTCTGCGGAATCTTAAAGAGCTCTTAAATCTTGAGTAGAATTTCAAGTTCTTTAATAAAAATAAATGACACCACATGCTTAAAATAGTAAAGAAAATAGTAACATGAGTTCTGAACTTGTTTAAAACCAACCAAACAAAAAGCCCTGTGTTGTTGGTATTCACTGATGTTAAATGCAGCAATGTGCATATTTGGGAGGAACATACACCTCCTTGACATATTTTCTTTTTCTTTGTTGTTCTGTTGACATACAAAGAATAGTCTGTTTGCAAAAAACCAGCCAACACTTAGGAGCACCCGACTTCACAAGGCCATTTAACAAGCTTTGCTTCTTGACTCTACCCTCAGATGAGGACAGGGTAATCGTGGAATGTGGGAAGAGAACTTGGCTTTATTGGTGACTTTTTGTTAACAAATTAAATTGAGGCAAGAGGAGACAGCATTGGAAGTCTTGATGTGAAAATGACTGAGACACTAGCCAAAGGCAGTGAAGGAAGTACATTTAAATATATCAGTTGAAGCGATCTTCAGTGCTAATATTGAACTAATTTTTGTACTGCTTGTGTTGATCTGTATCAGTGAAAGCGATTCGGTTAGGAAATGGGGAGGGGGGAGGTTTGATGGTGTGATAAATCAGACCAAACTTAAACTGATGAGAGGGCATCAGCATGCAAAGCTGAATTTCTGTAACTACAAAAGCGATGCTGTTCTGTAGGATTTTTATAGATCAAGCCTCGGATGGAAGGTCACTTAGAAAAAAATTGTACCTATATTGTATTTAACTATTGCTTCATTTCAAGTGGTATGTGCTTTCAAGGTATGACCATCTCAAATGAAAGATGAAGAAACTGGACAAATTAAAATCTTTTACAAAAAATAGATATACATTCTTCTAAAGCCAGTACCTTTCATGTGCTAGCTTCATAAATGTTGGATGGCATTAGTTACTGTATTATCACACAGTTTAAAATTATCAGACTCTGTTATTGCCAATGTTTTAGTTCTTTCTGAAAAACACCTTTGATCTATAAAGTTAAGTCTCTCACTGGAGGTATATTTGAAATCTGACTTCATAATGGCTGCTTTTGTACTAGCAACCTTAATGCTGAAGTATGGCAAGGTAGAAAACAGATTCATAGATTTGTGTAGACAGTGAGAAAAATTGTCATTAGCCTTAAAGTACACATTAAAGTTTGTTTTGTTGGTTGTTTTAAAACAGATCTTTCACATACTTGGTAAGTTCTTAAAAGTAAAAATTAATCTTGATTAAACTGTTGTCACAGTAGATATCTGCAGACAATTTTTTAAAAATCTTAGGAGCAATTTCCTTCAACTCAATTATTAGTGGAGGTTGTGGTGAGTTACTATTGCAGACTACTGTAGCTTCCAGTGTGGCTTAGTATATTGTATCTTAAATTGGCATGGCTCAGTTGAAGCCAGAAACCTGTGGTATTATATACATTGGCAGGTACTATTCACTGAATACTATGCTAATGCTGTTTTCAATGTTGTATGACTTTTTAAAATGCTTCTTGAATTTTTCAATAAATGTGTATTGCCTGCAGAGCATAGGCCTTGTACATCTGCTTCATGTCTAGATCAATAGTGATTAAGATTTAATAATGTAATGTAAGGAAACAGGAACATTGTTAACCCTGTTTTACAGACTGTGAAACTTATTACTACAAGGTGTTTTGGAGATTGGGAATATAAATTGTTTAAAAAAAAGAATTTGACTGATAGAACATTGGGTATATGCCTACATGGCAAGTGCTACAAGGAAGAGTATAGGAAACAGGCTTCGCATGTTATATGTTCTCATCAGTAGACATTTTAAAGGTTTTCTGTTCTGCATCCAGCCTATCATGTTTAACAAGTGGTACAGGTGTAGGGTGCAACACATGGAAAATTTGAATTGCTTAACTGTTGCCTGGATAGATTCTGTGAGGGACTATGCTATACTTGCTATATTTATTATCTTTCTGGCATTCTTTTCTAAACATCTTCCACTGTGAGTAGACAAAATATTGGCACAGGGAAACTTCTGGTTTTAATTCACTGTGACTGTTACAGTATACTCTAATGAAAACTAAGCTTACAACTACAGAATTTTATCAAGCATTAGGCTCTCCAGTTGATACTGTGCAAGGCAAATGGCATCTATTTCAAAGACATTGAAGTTTAAACAGATGAATCAGAAATTGTAGGGGAGTGGGATATAATGTTTAGCTTGAGAGTGCAGTACAGCTTGTTAATATTATGTTAAATGCTGTATTTAATTTACTTTTGCAGCATGACTTAATGTCTAATGTACTCTTTGCCTTCCTGTATGTATACAGGGACTCTTTTGCATGACATTCTGTTCTAATCCACCCTGCATCAGAAACTGGAATGGGTCAGCTTGGTCTGTGATACTCTTCTACTTCTGACTGTGATGGGGTTTTCACATGGTGTGTGGAAGACTCCTTCCTATTGACCTTGTTCCTCTACTTGAAAAAAATCCCTTCAGGCAGAATTTCTGTCTGTCCTGCAAATTGTCTATAGTTACAAATGAGCGTCACAACTTATTTGTGTGGGGGTCTTTCCTTGTCAGTGTAAGGAACAAAACTCTTAATTTGATTTATGCAATAGCTGTCTCTTTTTTTTTTTTGTAGGTACTATGATCAGCTGTGTTCAATTGAACCAAAGTTTCCATTCTCTGAAAATCAGGTAAGAAGACCTATCAAACCATTAAACTGAATCATGGCACTGATGACATATGACTTCCAAGCCTGTACCTAATCCAGTAAACAGTACTTCTCTTGGGCAAGGCTCTCTTTGAGCTTTATTTTCTTAATCTCTGTTTATTTTCTAGTTGGTGCTCACATACAGTCTATACTGAAACTTCACCTCTCGTGGCCATAACTGCCTTTGTTTTACAGATTCAGAAATGTTTTGACTTTGGCTAGTGGTCACTGTGGTCTAGGTCAGAAAGAGTTGTGCTGTGCTGATTCCTTTTCCAAGCAGTCTCTTTCATACTATGTTATAAAGGCTTTTTAAAACATAATTTCTGTCGGAAAAGCTCTGGTAAGGGATGGACTATGATCTTGGTTTTTGAAGTAGAATGGATGTTTCATTCACAACAGCTAACAGAATGAGCCCCCTTAAGAGCTTACCACTTTATTCTTGCCTCTGCATCTACAAATTATATAATTTCTATATAGACATGGTGTTCATTAAGCTTTTTTCCTACCATATTTCTTTAGAATCCTATCTCTAAGGAGAGCTACAGCTTAACTCCTGCCTATTGAAATCTTCCTCAGGTGGAGACTGGAGTAGATCTTTAGGTTTCTGTATTTTGGTGGAAAAAGATGTAGTTTTTTTTGATGTGTTTACAAATAGGACAAAATTTCCATTTCTTTCCTGATGAAATCATATTTAAAAGCTAATGTTATGATTAAAAGACAAAAATTTTCTTTCATGCTTGCGGATTACAAGTAGGGGAATAGTTTTAATACAGTTCAAACATTTGAATTTTGTATGTAGCTGCATTCACTTGTAGCAAAGAACTGCACTTTCGGCTTTAGTGTTCAAATGTTTCAATATGGTGATCTGCAAATGCTGAGACATGAAAAACTGGAAAATTTTGGGAGCAAGTTCTGCAGATCTGTAAACTGTTCCATTAAAGGCAAGTAGTTGTCAGTGGAAGCAGCGATGAACAGCTGAGGACCAGAACTTCCTGAACTAGCATTGCTGCTAGAGGAGAATACATTATTAAACAGTATTGTGCTCTTTCTTAAGTTATTCTCCACAACTGCTTTAAAACAAGGAATTTTGCTATCCTTTCTGGTCTGATATCAGATGCCTACAACTAGTTTGATCAGCTGAATAAGGAATCAAACTGTCGAACTCCAAAGCCGATTCTGTGAAATATTTGCACTGTCTGTGAAATATATACTGGAAGTGTACTATAAAACACACCGGTTTTACCTGCATTCTCTTTCCTGAGTGCATTTCCTGATAATGCTGCTATTGAATTAACTCCTAAAAATGAGTGAATTTTGGTATTAAACCCAGTTCCAAATATGCTAGTAATTTGGAACAGTGGAAACTGCCTTGTTGGGTGATTTCTTTTAACTGTGACTCTACCTGACAGTCAAACTTCTTGGGAGAGCAATATCTTGGTTTGGAAGTACATTTATCTGTCACTCAGAACATAAGGAGAGCTGAAAGGTTATTTTGAGAATTTCTGTCTTGTCTGCTTGAAATGTTTTGAGGAAACTAACAGGAAGGGAAAAAAGGTACAATTATTTTTTCTAAAATAAATCTTTTTTTCACAACTTTCAGGTCTGTGTAACATTTACATGGAAAGATGCTTTTGATAAAGGATCACTTTTTGGAGGATCTGCCAAGTTGGGTATGTGAATGTACTGAAAGTGAAAGTATTATTAATGATGATAAATTTTGAGAATATTTTTATATAGCTGAATTGTTAATAGTCTTTCTGGTATTCTCAACATATCTTTCAAATGAGTTCAACTATATTGGTAACATTAATCACTTCAACATGGGTAATGAATAAATGGGCAGTATGTGAAGAATTTCTATAAAATTGAGATTTAATATTAGTTTTCAAGAGGCACACATAGATGCGCAGTAGTTGTGCTGTCTGCTGCTCAGACTTTTTCTGGGAGCAACCCCAACTGACATTAATCAAAATTGTTCAAGTTAATGTTAAGTTTTAGTAGTAGGTTTTTGGTAAGCGAGCTTTTACTGTTCTAAGTAAGAGTAAGATCCTCTTGAGATGTGCTTGTGAGTGAGTGAGTCCCCACCAGAAGGCGGCGAGTGGTGTTAACTGGCTTCAGTAACCTTGTCTGATGTTATATTTTGTTCAAGAGAATGGAAGGATCTGCCCATGCCGTGAAATGATTCTCCTATCACTTCTTTTTAAAATATTTTCATACAGATTTGAACACTTGGAAAGAAAAAAAAAATGTATTTGTTTCCTGCAAACATAAGGAGTTCGAATCTAAGATTAATTCTAGTGATATAGGAGCAATCCTGCGCTGCAAATTCAGGATCATTAAATGGATTTGGAACACTTGCCAGTAGAGAAACTCAGACTAAATCCTTTTGAGTTAAGTGAGGAGCTGTTACTTGTGTCATCATTCTTTAGTGTTTCTATTTATACCTAAGTGTTCATGAGGACCAGCATTGCAAGATGACCATTGCAATTTTGAAGCTCCACACAAAGCCTGAAAAAAATGTTAAAGTGCTTGTTCTCTTTTTATTTTTTGAAAGTTTTTGTATCCTTTGTATAGTTCTCTGCTAGGGACTGCTGAAAGTCTTTGCAGTTTTCCATGTTCTGAATATACCTGTGAAAGTTGTGCTTGTGTGAACTATATGTGTAACAACACATTGCATTCCGATGTGTAAGCAGGTGGTGCACACACCCCTTTCCTTGCTTTATTTTCTAACTGTTCTAAGGACTTCTGGATAATTTGGAGATCTTCCTCAAGATGCCATGTTTTTTTCTTCAGAATTTGGCTGGTTCTGTCATCTTTGGGGCTAGCATTTAATGATGATTGAACCTGTTTCATAGTAAGGTTCAAAATATTTAATTATGACTTAAACGTAGTCTTTGAATTGCCAGAGATTTATAATTATTGTCAGGGAAAAGAATTGTTAATCATAATGTTGATGATTACCCTGAGAATATGAATAAATGTGATGTTACAGCAGCTTGAGAAAGCTTGCTTGTCTGCAGGTTAATTATATACTAGTCTACATAATCTGTGAGGCAGATGGCCAGAAATTTATGCAACAGTCTATGTGAAATATCAAAGAAATTCTTAACTAAGATGTGAGTAATGCTCAGTTAGCAAGCGATGGAGTAAGTATTATTTTGAAACTTTAAAGCAGATCTTAGTGGAAATAAATTAACAAAAGGAGTCTTTTAGTATAGATCTTCACATTGCTGTATTGCAGATTATCCAGATGCTGCTCTCCAGATTAACTATAGCATGTGTGTATCTCTTTATTTCTGATCAGAATTAGTAGTGGGGTTTCTCAGTGTAAAGAAAAGTTTTCAGTTACTGAGGGAACAGAGTTTCTGTTGACTTCTAAGAGGAGGCGATCGTGTCTCCAGAAGGAAATTGAATGTAAAACTCCTTTGACTTTCATGGGGCCAATATGCAGGGGTGTGACTTGAGAGTTCTGGCTCTTGCTGTGGTGACAAACTGTTTTCTTCCCATCTTCCCCTGAATCTCAAGTCTGTATTACAGGGGTAGCTGACAGATACTGTGGCTGCTTGAAAAGTGACCCAGTTCACAGCATGGCATGCAATCTGAAATATGTTGGCTTAAGTTAATAGGTAGAGCTATAAACAGATGAGTCTGAGGAAAATCTATATTGCTAAACAGCTGTTCTCACTGTAGTAAATCACACTTGAGATGCAGTCCAGAGTATAAAGTAATTCTGTGCTTCAGAAACTTTAAAGCCATGTTTTCTTTCTTGTTTGTTTTAGTCTTTTGAATGATGTCCAAGTTGTACAAGATCCATCTTTTTAGAAAAAGTCTGGAAAATAAACTGCAGAAGAGAGAGTGTCTAGATAGATGGCTATTATCTTGATGAAATACAGTGACTGTGTAACTTGCTTTTCACTCAGGGAAACAAAATGGGGAAAAGGGCATGTCAGATTTGTGGCAGCTTGTCTGAAAATTTAGTGCAGGTCAGGGAGTGCTAACATAGAAACATCAGAGGTGTTAGGTAAATATGAAGCTGTATAAGGAGGCTGGGTGTTAGTGAAATGAAACAAATGTGTCTCTTAAGTACCTTCACATTTTAAAGATAACTTAGAAATTGTACCTGGGTTTGTGAAATTGAAAATTCACTAGTAGAATTTTCTGTATTCTCGAAGAGGAGTGTCTAGACACTTTTCAACAGCGGTAGGAAACTAATATCTGCAGTCTTTAGATTTTTCCAGCCCTTGCCTATGGCCAATAACCTTTTGAAAGCAATTAATAGATTCAAAATGGTTCCTGTTCAGGTATGACTGTTTCTAGAAGTGTGGGCTCCATCCTCTGGGACTATGAAGTACTACAGCAATTGAGTCTGGACAGGCCACGCTGCTGTCTAGCGAGCACAAGTTTTAATTAAGGGAATGTGTAGCTGTTTCAGTACATGTATAACAAACATTTGTCAGCATTTTCAGTCTGAATCAATAGCTTTGAGACGTGAAAAATTACTTGCATTTCAATAGATATTAAGACAAAACATGTAAGAATCTTTGGTCTCAATGAGAGAAGGGTAATTAATGTTGCATTCAAGATACAGTAAGAGCATGTAATTGAGCAGTTATTGCAAAGTGATTAATCCATGGAAGTTCATATTTCAGATTATCCTTCAGTAATGCATGTGTTTCTGTATCTTCAGGAGCCAAAAGGCTGCACTCTAGTTAGAAAGACTTTCAGATTATTTTGTGTGTTGTGTAGATTTTCATACTACTGCTTGAAACAGTTGATATCTTTAAGTACAGATATTAGCAGTGTTGGCCTCATCTGTAGGATGCTAGAGTACTGAATTTGTTTTTTCTTAACAGTACGGGTAACTGTCTGTCTTGATTGCAGCTCTGGCAAGTTTGGGGTATGAGAAGACCTGTGTTTTGTTCAACTGTGGAGCATTGGCAAGCCAGATTGCAGCAGAACAGAATCTAGATAATGATGAAGGATTAAAAGCTGCAGCTAAGCACTATCAGGTACAGAGGATCCTTGCTAATGCTTAGGAATTCAGAATTACTAATCTTAGAACATCAAATAAGTATCTCTCAATTTTAAAGCTATATACATACATACATAAATATACATATATATTTTTCCCTTTCTTAATTACAAAGGTGGATTGGCTAAGTATGTGGTCTTGGCTCATATTTATTTGCAACTTTGAAGGATTTAATTCCATACAATTCTCCATACCCCTTCCCTCAAGTGTGTTGGTAATTAATAACATTCAGCTTAAGATTTAATAATTTTAGATAGTATGGATTTTAGTTTTAACAAGTAATAATCTGTTTCTTTTTTGTGGAATGCATAAAAATTTCTCTGTTCCTTGTGCTGTTAGGTGTAGCCCGTATACTTACAACCCGTATACTTACAGCCTGTATACTTACAGCCCATCTTGATAAACGTCTCAGTATAAGTGACTTCAAGACCAAGAAGTCACAAGGAATTGTTTTAGTGGGTAAACAATAAATGGGAGATCATATACCAAAAAAGCTCTAGTTTTTTTTGAAATTGTTACAGGTATTATATTTGTAAGAGTGAAAAAATCTGTTGGAAACATGAATGATGATCCTTTTTTTTTTTGTTTTGCTTAGTTTGCCAGTGGTGCTTTCCAACACATTAAAGACACTGTTTTGTCAGCCTTGAATCGAGAACCTACAGTGGACATCTCACCAGACACAGTTGGAACTCTCAGTCTTATTATGTTGGCTCAAGCCCAAGAAGTCTTTTTTTTGAAAGCTACAAGAGGTACATCTTAATTTTTGGTTTGTATGTTTATGTGCTCATTACAACTTCCACAAAAACTTACAAATGTTTAAGTTAAGAGCTTGTAAAAGGCCTTTCAGAAACTTTTTTATTTTTGCCTTTACTGATATCCCCCCTGTCCTTGAAGGTCATTAAACACAAACTACAGATGCCACATAAGAATTTGTCTAAGGTTCACCTGACAGTGCAGTTGTCCCATTTGCCCTTCCTTTCTTTTTGTCTCCAAAACCATTAGTCTTCATATTTACAAAGGATTTTGTTGGATTATGTTTTTCGCTTTTTCCCTCTGGAGAACAAAAAACATTCTCTAAAAGAACTGAGAGTACTTAAAATGTTGCATGAGGGTTTTACCACTATTTCCCTCCTTCTCTGTCTGGGGAATGATTTAATGAGAATTTACGAAGAAATGACTGCTAGGAAACAAAGGAAATTACCTAAGAGTTGAGGGAAAACAAATTCTGTTTGATTGCTCCTAATTTTAACAGAGGAACTCTTTGACCAAGTCTAACTTTGAAAATGCCCAGTTTGTCGCAGAAAGTGAAATTCTGCAGGTAGAACAAAAAATTATGTCCCTAACTGTTAAAGGCTGATTGTGAAATACTGATTCAGAGACTGCATATTTTAATACAACTGTTAAAGGATGTATGCTTTAAAGAATTTTCCTGTGGAACAGTACTATCTTCGGTACAAGATCTCTTACTCTTTGCTGTTCTGTTCTTCTGTCTGTATTTACAAGAAGATGTGCATCTAGAAATTACAGGTATCTAAATGTAGAACTAAGGACATAGAGGTCACATGTGATTGCCCACCATCTGCTCTCTCGTCCCACATTGTTTGGAATACAGTGGAGGAAGACGGGATTATCTTAACTGGGATGTTTCTTCTCTTCATAGGGAAGATCCCTGAAAATTCATGTAGCCTTACTGCCTTTAGGAGAATCTCAACTAGAAACTATTGTCTTTCAGCCAACTGATAAATTATGTTTATGTTCTTTATCATGCTGGTAGCGGTATTTTAGTCTCTGGCTATCTGGACATTGTTTTGAAATAAATTTGCGTAACAAATTGCCTGAAACCTTTCTTCAGGAGCAGGCTCTTGCCTCATTTTGCATGAGAAATAGATCTTTCTGTCACCTTTTGATTTCTTCTTATCCAAAACGTGACAAAGACCAAGCAAGGCTGATCCAAAACCCGCGTACGCCCAGTGAACTGAAGATTTTTGTGACTACTCTCAAGACTACAAGTCTGCCAGTGTTAGAAGGACAGTAAGGTTAATAATCATCTGACTATGGAGGCTGCAGAAGTTCTTTTCCCTGGCAGGAAAGGCATTTTGTGAAGAACCATGTTTGACAATGTGATTAACTTCATAAGCCTATTTTTCAAGTGGAAATGCTTCAAAGTTTGATCTCAAAACTCAAATTTAGCTTCTTGATGCATTGACTAATCACCTTCCCTGCAATTTTCTGGTTTTTCTCTCATGTGAGACAGTCCATTTAGCAGCTTACCAGCTGATAATGGTATTTGTGATAGAACTGAGCGTATTCACAAGTTGAAAGAAAGTGGAAGTATTTGGCAAAAATCAAACTGGTCAGTCAAATCTAACTCTACTGCATAACTATGTATCAGTTCTTTCATTTCTGAGCCTTTTTTAATGTTTTTTTAAGTGTCTTTAAGTCTGCATGTGTTCACTATTCCATCTCAAGGCTTGCATTATAGCTGCAATATTTTGAAGATGTGAGTAAAAACTAAAGCTTCTAATGGTGAAAGCTCTAGTCTGAGCTGTCTGCATGGACAAATGAGTTTCCTCTAACATTTCCTTTGTTAATGGAATGTAGTTAATATGCGAATATTTTTTTCTTAGAGCTCAAGCTCTATGAAGATGCATCTACCACACACTAGGTGGACTAGAAGGACAGTTTATTTAGGTTTTATTTGTTTTGCTTTTATTAAATATTTAGTGTACTGGGCAGAAACATTTTAGCAAAGTAGTAAGTTGCTAGATCTCGTAGGCTCCTTTCTCTCCATTTGTCTTCTAAATCCTGTTCTACAGTGAAAAGATCTTTCTGGCATACCTTAAATGCATTTGCCTCCTAGATGGTAAATATATTACATCATGTAACATGGCTGAAGTGTTGTAGATAGATGTGTGAGTATGCTGGAATGAGCAGATCACTTGTCAATTCTTTTGATTTAATTTTGGCAATTAAGCATACTCTGCAGACTTCCTAATCTCCCCATATCCCCCACTCATGCTAATCAATCTGGTAGTACATCAAAGTACCTTGAATCAGAGGATACTTGTTTGTTAGGGCATCTATTTAGAGTGGGTGGCCAAAGTCTGCACTGCTTGCCTGCCTTCTCTTGGAAGGCTGAATTGCTAGTGCAGGCCAGAGGTGATTATAAAAGGAGATAAAGATAGATGCAGAATGTTCCTATTTCAATAGTTTTGGCTTCAGGAACGGGGTGAGGATGTGAGGCAAGGAATACCACTGCTACTGGGCACATGCAGCTCTGATACGAAGTAGTGGATTCCACTTGGAGGAACTGTGGTTATTTATGTCTAGGAATGGTGTTTCTATACTCAGTGTAAGCTAACAGTAGTGTGGACTGCCACAAAAGGACGAGTGCTTTCTCTTCTGTTGCACTTCAGCAAATTTTTGAGAGTCCTGACATGGAGTTGGGTTAGAGAACAGATCCTGCTGA